GTGGTGCTTCCGGGGCCTGCAGTTTCTCCCCTATTGTAGACACTTGACACCGGTGTTTGTTTGTTCCTTTTTGCTCCGGTGCTTTGCTTCTCGTTATTTTCATTTCTAGGGATTTGGTTTTGTTCAGGCAGAGGTACTGACGCTGCAGAGGTAGCGAGCGTTGTTAGTAAACAGCGGTAACCTGAGGACGGGCAGAGTCGGGCAAGTTCTCAAACAATAGTTTTTCACACGGCTGGTGCCATGCACTGTAATAAAATTTGCTGTAGCAATACTTGAATTTACTGCTTTAGAGCTGTGTCTCTCTTCTGTGGTGGTTCCAGTAAGGCGAATCACACCAGGACTGGCAGCTCCTGGTACTTCTTCATTTTCCACGTTGAATAAGAGAATGGTAAAGGCTCGGTGTAGCCATACTGTGTTATTTCCCCTGTCTTCAGATGACTGTTTTTTTGGCTCTTTAGTGAGCAAAACCTGAAAATGTTTACTGCAGGAGATTTGTGGCATTCCAACGTGGTTTTAACATCTTTTTCACACAATAAGTACAGACATGCAGGAATTGTAGTGGTTTTTGGAGGCTCACACCACCTGGGGATTCTGCTGTATCTTGGCCAGGGTCCATGGTGTGACATTGGTGCCAGGAGAACCTGTGCTGCCTTTGCCTGTGTGTTGGGAGAGTTTCTTGCCCCTCTTGTTTTGGAAATAATTCCTGTTCTGGGTTGTGGCATGTGAGGGTTCAGCCATGCACCTCACAAGGTCAGGAAGATTTCCTACTGCTGATACAAACTGATCTTTTTTGCATTAATGCTTTTTTAGCACTTTCTGAAATGACTGTGGTTCAGTACATCCATGGTTGTATTTCCTGTCAACCTGTTGTATGTACTAATAAAAACACAATGTGAATTTCTGGGGCTTTTGCTATATTAGTGGTGTGTAAGCCCATTTTGTGTGTTTTGGCCTGTTCTACATACTTCATGTGAGAAGTTCAGAGACACTAAATACCAGAGTGTAAGTTAAAAAAACATGAGAAAACAAGACACACAAAACACCACTCCCTTTCCAAGTAACTTTACATGCGGAAAAAAGGGATTGTCTTTGCCTTCAGCAGTTATGTTGTATCATCCTAGAATTGTAATCTGTTTTTTTTTCCTATTTTAGAAGATTTTGATCCTGTAGGAGCCTGTTCTTCATGTGTCAGAGCTCTTAATTTTGAACTTTTATTTTAATAGTGCTTCTAAGAAGATGTCCAGTGCAGATCCCCTCACAAATACAGAGAAGGAGTAAGTACTTTTTTTCCTAGATGCAGAAATACAATTAATGGATTATAATATTAAAATTTTTGCAGTTTCATTGGTAGGATCTTGTCTTGATGAAGACTTAAAGAAAAATAACTTTGATATTGAAATAGTCTGCAGTAATGTCGTCGGAAAGCTGACACCAAACACCAGTGAATTTACACTTTAAGGAAGGAATTGTCCCTTAAGCTTTTCATTAATTTAATTGGCACTTGGTTAGGACTTGTTTGTAGAGATAAAACCCTGCATTGAGATTTCTTAATTTAATGCTTCTGAACTATGAAAACATGCTTGTATATAGTAGGTCACTTCTTTGTACATCTGGGGTACCTGCAGTAGCATAAGACTAGAGGTTTTGTATTACAGTGCATTGCTTTTTCAGATTACTCTGTTTCTATACCTTTAATATTTTATATGTAGTACTTAGGAACCATTATATTTTTTACCAATGTCACAGGATATAAAAAAATTATGTTCATTCTGTAAAACATAATCTTATCTACTTAGAAGTTGGATCAGATTCTAAATGTCAAACATGGATTCAGTCATGATTGAAAAGTGTAACTCCAGACCCTTTCCAAACTGCCAAATAACCACGCCAATGCTCTCATCAAAACCAGAATTAAAACCAGGCACAGGCAGCTCTTGCTGGACTTAGCATGTTTGTTGTACTTGTGCAATAGAATCCAGTAAAGAGTATTCAGAAGAATAATAAAAAATTTAACATAGATTTAGAATTATGCCACCTCATAAATAACTTGATTGGTTAGAAAAGAAAACCCACAAAACATTCAAAAAGCTGACCTGCTTTTTACTGGGACCTGAAGAAGCCAAAACTCTGCTTGTCTGATGGAAATTCTATGTGATCACAAAGATACATCTTTCAGACAGCTGTGGCTTGCTAGAGTCATGTGAAAGATGAGTAGTTTACATGAGTAGTTCCTAGGTCACTGTATTCCAAAGGTGGTTTTTCACATTAGAGATGAACAGGAAAGGCACCTAAAACTGCACTTCAGCTGCATACTGATGGCAGGCTGTCATTTTCTGTACTTTTATTTCTTGTAGAAGATGATGCTTCCAAGAATGGACTTGGTTATATGTTAACTGAGGTTTACCTGAACTTTAAATCATACCTTTCTTCTCTGTGCAGGGGGTTAGCTTCCAACCATTCATGCTTCTCCACAATTACAATGTTGCCTAAGTTTTTTTTAGGCTTAACAGTTGCCATATAATGATCCATGTTTTCTAGCCTAATCAGCAGAATGTATTTTGAATAATGAGTGGGTTTGGATGGATCACACTGAGTGCTCATCCATGATGTATGATACAGCATTCCTTTGCCTATGGTCCTTAAAATCTGAACTTGGGGTTAGGGAAGCTGAAAAGCTGCAGTTGTATCATGGATTTGTATAGGATTTTTGTAAAAGGCTTTTGGTTTGTTTATAACAAAAAAGATCTTGTGAATCGAACTTCCAAAGATTCTGGAAATCTTTTTGTCATCTGCTAAAATATCACGTAATCCATCTCAGTTGCTAAAGCATTGCAAAACTTCCCTTGGGAGAGGCAAGCTGTAGTTATAAATGTGGCTAGAATGGAATAGTTTTCCAGCTGTTTGGAAATGAATCTTACTTAACAACAAATGACAGCTCTTGAACATTTAGTCTTACTTATTTATACTAAATTTCATGGAGTTTTGAATTACAATTTTCCTAGATCTTTCTGGAAGTAAAAAGTAATTTGTGTTCTTCTGAGCGTGTTCTTGAAAGGCAGAGCACTTGCAAGAGAAGCAATAATGCTGTCATTCATTAAAAGCAGCACAGCAACAGAATTTGAAGGTAAAGAGGGATAGAAGCCTTGGAGATGAGTTCAGGAAGCTGAACAAAGCACGGTTTACTTTGAAGAAGGGGTGGAGGAGCAATCTTCTGAACAAGTCATGTATTACTGGTAATAGCTAATAAAATCAGAGCAATAAGGTTAATACTACTTTATACCTGCTTAAATTGTGCAGAAGTTTGTTATGTCTGGTTTAATAAAAATAACTTTTTGCTTTTTAACAAGGAAATTGGAGAGCCTTGAGCCATGTGTTAATTGGGGGATTTCTATAGCAGAAAATGTGACGCTGGTTGGTCTGAGTGATGTATTTTGACAAATGCTCCTGTTATTGATACCACAAATTGAACTCCACTGGTGTTAAATACAGAGCTCATTTTGTTGGAGAAAATCTATTGGTACTTTATCTTCTGTAACCTTGCCTAGAGCAAATCCAATTGATATGAGGCTTACAATATCAATGGCTTTTCCGTAATGCCGGTAACAGCAGCAGAGTGAGCTGACTGAGGAAATGCTGCAAAGGGGCAAATTTCCATCTCTGAATGGATGTGGTCACTGTGCCAGTGGGGTTTTTCACTATTTGGGAACTGGGAAGGCTGCTTTATGTTCCCATTTCCATCTCTGATCTGCTCCTTAATCTGTGGTGGGTCACTCTGCTCCTTCTGTGTGTGCATTGCAGGCTTTCAGGACTGACCACTCTCTATGAACGCTGTTCAGCAACTTGTCTCTCAGCAAAGTATCCTTTCCCCAGAAGGATTATCTGCTAATGAAACCACAGTCACTGCAGCTTTAAAAAAAAAAAAAAAGGTGCCTGAGATAAGCTTTTGCATTCCTGGCATAGCCAGCCCTCCTGCTGCACCTCCAGGCCTGACAGATGCTGTCTGATCACAGGGCTGCTCCTGGCTAGAGAGGATTCACCTTTCTACTTAAAGCCCTCAGTGAACACAGGGTAGTAGGCTTTCATTTCAAGCTCAGTCATGTTATGATCTTTTGAGAGAGGGGGAGTAGTAGGGGCGCTTCTGTGGCAAGCCTGGAAGGAAACATTCATTAACCAAACTGGTGTCAATGATCAGAATTTCTGAAAATGTGCATTTCTCTGCAAGACCAAGTCTCCTGTCACAGGATCTGACCTCTGGGAACAAGGGTGATACATTTGACTTCTTAAACTACATTATTCGCAGTGTAATGACATAAATTTGGCAGTTTTATTTCCTTTCACAGAAAAGTACATGTCAGCTTGTATTTCTAGAGAAAATAAATAACCCAAGTTCTGTGTTGACTTTTGACTGCTGTATCTTGAAAGTCTAAAAATCAAGTTAGATCATGGCACAAGCCAGTACCGTGATTGAGAATGAAAAGTAATAGCATAATGGCATTTGTTTCATTAATACTCCCAGTCTGCTTTGTTGGCTTTCCCTTTTGTGTGGCTGTGCATAATGCAGTCTGCTAGGAAGATTGCTTTAGAAAGGTCATGAGTTACTGCTTTTGACCTTGTTTGCAGGGTGTATGTAAATAAATTTTAGAAGACCAGGAGGAAATAAGTTGCTTTTAATCATTGCATTTGCCTTTGGCTGCTGGATCTAGATTGCTTAATCACAGTGTAGTAAATTTTGTCCTTTGCATTTATCAATCTTTAAAGTTGCTCTAAATGGCCGTTTCAAAGAGAGAAAAAGTAAGCATTACCTCTCTAGGTGAATTAGTGCATGTGACGCAGAGGCTTTCAGAGAAGATTAAGTAGGCAGAACGCTCAGCTGGAGCTCTGTGTTTGGGTTTTTTAGTTGTTAGCAGAAATCATCCTGCTCATAACCTTTATCCGGCTGAACTGGAAACCTCCAGTGTGTTTTGGTTGTGTTGTCCTTGTTTTTCCTGCTGGGCTGAAGGATGTCCTTGCTTTCTCCAGGAGCTGAAGATGAACCAGAGCGTTTTGATGGTCTCTCTCTCTTATACTGGTATGCTGAACCATTCAGTTCTGAGGGCATTGCTCTAGTCTGTAATTGGGCAAAGTACAGGAAAGATCCTTTAAAAGCTGATAATTTTCAGCTTCTTTTCATCAACAGCCAGAGTTTATAATTTAGATTTTTGTGTGTCAAGTGATATGTGTTTTGTCAGTAAAGTGTATTATTGTCCCGTTGATAAACATAGGTAAATGTTTTGTTTGTGCACATAAATGACTTATAATTTCTCAGGAATGGAGATCAGATGAATATCTGGATCTGTGTGTTCTGATAAGTACTAAAAGAAATAAAACCCAAAGTTGTTGAACTTCTTTGTGTATGCTGCTAAAAAGTAATAGAAGCAGGTTCATTTTAATTGCCTTTACTGGAGCATCTAGAGAAAATGTTGCACACTTAGTCTGTTAGCATTCCAGGACTTCAGCTAGAGTGCTGAGTTTAGTATTTTTTTGTGTAAGAAGGTTATAGTGTAAATTTTGGTGAGTTTTACTTGTTTATTTCATGTCTTGCCTCACATCTTCTCTGTGTGCTAAAACCTTCCTTACAGATACTTTTGCCTGACCTCAAAAAATGAGTAGTGACAACTGATTATTTAATTTGCATATTTTTCTGCAAAAAACATTGAATTATTTTTTGTTACTACTGCCAACTGGTTTAAAAGTATATTTCCTTATTTATACTGTTGAGCATGTTTCTAAAGCTCTGGGAAAAATATTCTAATATTTCACAAATATTGAAATTGATGACATAAAATAAATGTTGGATGGGTACTGAACCCAAGTACCCAAGTCATTTTACAGTGAAATTGTTAAAGCTCTGTTTATTTTGTTAGAACAATGACAAGTAGCTTGACTTGAAGATCTGTGTTATATGGGGGAAAAAAAACCCTAACACTGAAAGTCGACTAGATGTGATATGCTAAACAAATTTGGGGCATTTGAAAATCTTTGGTTTTGCCTTTATGTGATCTGTGAATTTTAAACTGCATGTGTTGGAGGGATTTAGTTTTAGAGCATAAACAGACCTGAGTACCTTGTAAAAGTTGTCTGTCCACAGTGTCAGTTATTTCTCATTGTAGGTGGCAGCATCACAATTCCAGTGTTTCAGAGATACCTTACTCCTCTCCACTGACTAATAATAACAATTAGTTGTGTGTTCTCTGTGTCTTCTTTGTCAGAATCCATTTTAGTTCCGTTAGGATCTCTCTTTGGAAAGCATTGCCAGTTACTTCTGAAAATGTAGATTCTTTCCTATTGATTGTCCTATTGTTACATTTGATCATATTTCATTATTGTTTTATATGGTAGTATATAAAGAGGTTCTACAATTTCTGGCAAACTCTGAACTTCAGACTTAAAGTCTGAGATTTGATCTTTTCAGACTTTGCAAAAGTAAAACCTCTGTGTCGGTTTGTGTGAGGTTGAAGTAACTTCTGTTCTTGCTTTTTAATTTTTACCAAAAAACTGTAGTATGAAAACTGCTGAGAGGGAATGGTAAAGCAAAACCAACAGCAGTAAGCAGCAAAAGGCAAGAGAAAAAAAAAAAGAATAATTGCCTATTTTAAAGATCAGTATACCTTGTTTAAGATTTCAGAGCAGGACAAAGCATAACTGGGATGCTGTCCTTCAGCCTCAAAACCAATTTGTGGAATAATTGCAGTGACAGTACTGGGTAGTAATGCAAAATACTCTGTTCTTGTCATGGAGTAGGAGGTTGTCCAAAGGGTATTCTTAAATAAATATTGGGCTTGGGGATTTGTTCTTCCTTTCAGGCTGTGATTAAGTAAAAGCAGTTTGGTTCACTTTTAGCCTTACAAAGGGTACCTTATGCTCTGACATATCATGGCATGGTCATGTGCAGTCCTGTCAAACACACACCGAATCCACTGGGTTTTGTTATTTCTTTTTAGCCTGTGAAACAAATCCTTCAAGAAATACTACAGTGAAAATTACACAGTGCTTGAAGCATATGTTTACTTTTTGTTTTTAAAGGTTATTAGAATTATTAGGTCTCTTCTTGTGGCCAGCCTTTCTAAAGCAAAGGCTAATTTTGCAAATACTTGGAAATATGAGATTTTGGGAAATTGTTGCATTTCAGAGCTAGTGCTTGTCATTTGATAAACAAATCTCATCCAGTTTTCTTTTCCAAAACCAAAAGAACTGCAGATGTTCTTTAGAAACTGGATCTCGTGGCTAGTGCTAGAATTTAAGAACATTTGAACTTTCTGGATTTCTCTCTTCCTTCTGGCACAGCACCTTTTAATGATGTACTCTGGCTTTTGCAGATGTACCCAGTTTCAGGCATAGAGTTCAGGCTGTGTGCTGGATTAGGTTGGAAGGATTTGGGTCACTGTGTCCTCCACTTTGATCTTCTTTCCCACCCTGCTAATGAATTCTTGTTTTTACATTTCACTAGGACCCTCTAGAAAATACAACTCTATCTAATGTAGAGCAATATGTAGGTCAAAGCAGAAAAACCTCAGTAGTGCTTCTGCTCTTTTCTAGAAGAGATCTGCTGAGTCTTCTTCAAAAATATTGCAGTGAAAGGACAGAGGAGATATAATACAACTAACTTTTTTTTTTTTACCCATAATTCATCTACATGATAATAAAACCTGGTAAAGGGTAATCTGGATTTATTTCCATTCTTAATACTCTGCATTCTCAGAGCAGTGTGCTGGTCATGAGTCTGATGAAATTGTAAATTTAAGTTTCAAAACTCTTAATTTTACTTTGTATTCTTTTTTAAGTCTCTTGCATGATCAACTGCCTTCAAAATATTTCTCTGCCTTTTTACAATTCCAAGTGCCATCCTGGTGTTTCCCCTTGGAGTGGGAAGGTACACAGAGGATCAGGCAAAAGAGTTTGGAAAGAAACCTTTTTTACAATAGAGACAGAAATCAATGTTGAGTGAAGAAATAAGTAGATTTGGGAAAAGATTATGTCCATAAATATAAAAAATTCTATTTTAGATATCTTAGGAAATAATTTTATGCATTGACTTAGCTGTGCTTTTGTTCAAATATTCATTACCTAATGAAAACTGATGTTTACGGTATGTTTTTCTTGCCTAAATGTTAAGATGGACCAGCTTGTGGACTTTTGTTTATATTTAATCACAATGCCTTTATTACACAAAGTGGGATTCACAGTTCAGCCTGGGATTCACAGTTCAGCTGTGGGGGAAAAGGAAGTAAATTCTGTATATTTATTGTACCTTTTCATCTGATATTTGTGATGAACAGATTGATTTTTGGCTGGGGAGATGGTGGCTCATAGATATCAAACAATATGAAGTTGTCAGTGGAGAAAGTTGGTTTGGGTTTGTATTTGAGTTGAAAACACAGTCACTGTAATTTCTTCTTTGTTAACATAGCTCTACCTACATTTCTGTAATTTGATTTTCTTTTGCTCCTTAGGACCATTATGGGCCCTCATGGAATAAATCGAGCTGTTCACCGCATCTCTTTCTCTGATTGCCAGAATGGATTAGGTAACTAAGATTGCACATTCTGTTACTCTGAGGAAATCAAACCTAAAAACACCTTTGCCAGCTCATACCTGGCATCAGGAAAGTTTATTTCGCTTTCATGGATTTGACTGCAAATACATTTGCCACAATAGAATAACCAATTCTAACCACAGGTGGAATAACCAATTTTTCACTTTTGTCTTTTTGTTTGTTGTTCAGGAGTTAAAATTATTGGAGGTTATCGGGCGCAAACAGCAGAAGATTATGGGATTTTCATAAAGAGAATTCTACCTGGGGGCGTGGCTGCTATAGATAGTAAGTAATTTTAACTTTTTTGGCTACAAACACACTGCATATAAAAAGCTGTCAAAAGAAGTCTGTTTTACTTTATGGGTAAGGATATTTAAAATAATATGGTTTGGTCAGGATCTATGAGGTGTTAGCTTACTTTAAGATAAATAAATGAAACTTGGAACCTTTATGGAAAAAGATTTTAATACACTCAGGTCTTGAAAATGTGTTCAAATCTAGATATGGCTGGTGAAGGCAGCTGGCAATCTTTCTGGCAATTGGCACCTCTGTTGAGTGAGTGTTGAGATGCTGAATCACTTCTAATGTATAAGGTATAAGAGTGAGGTTTCCTGTATAAACCTAGTATTTTTAATTAGTTCTGATAATTTTTATTACTATTTTTTAATGTTGGTGTGCTGGTGGCTAAGGTCTGTGTGGAGAGAAGAAATTACTCTCAGTAGAGTGCAACAATTAAGCTACAGATTTCCATCCTAGGTCTCTGTATGGGTTTTTTTTTGAGATTCTAGCTTGTCTTGTGCAAAATGATCATTTGAAATAATCTGCATCAACTTCCTAAACTTGAGATTTTCAGGAGGTTAAAGGTAGAATTGGTTCTAAAAAATCTTTTAACTGACTTTATTGATGTCTGAAACATTAATATATCCACACATGGTAACTTACAATAATGTTAAGAGCAAGAGTCAAATAAAATTAGTTCCACAACTGTAAACTATAAATTCTAGTCTCAAAAGTATTTTTGCTGTGTGTAAGTAGTAAAAATAGCTAAATGACAGTTATTTTTGCTGGCTATTCTGTTGTTAGTAAGATTGATTTATAGGTTCTAGTCTTATTTCAATTATCTGCCTTACTTAGGATCAGGTGCCAAGGGTCATAAAGTTGTTTAATGCATTAAGTCCCATAAAATTGAAAGGAAAGTCCTGGGTTAATACCTGGTTTAATACAATACCTTCACCATTTTCTTGTTGATTCATCAATCACTGTTGGTTTCATTTCAAGGCCGTTTGCTCACTGGGGACCTAATTCTGGATGTCAATGGAGAAAACCTGGTTGGAGTAACAAATGAAAGGTATGTTTGTGCTGATTCCCAAATGTTTATTACAGCTTGGAATGTTATACATGGATTATTTTGGACACTATCAGTGACTGATTGAAAGAGCACAGCTCCCCTGAGATCCTTGGAGTTCAACTCACAAGTAATTAATCCTATAGATCTAATGCAGCAAAACTGTTGTAGAAAAGTGAAGGATTTGGTATGCTTCTGTACCAGCAGAATCAGCTGGTTTCTTAATGACACAGATTACAGCATGTGTGTGAAAACAGCTGTAGAAGCTGTTCATACAACTACCTGCTTGTTCAGTCCTGCTGAATGTAAATGGTGGCAGCAATCATGTAATGGCACAATGAAGGGGGGAGAAGGAGCTGTAGGTGTTTTCTGTAGCTGGAGCTGTAGAGATCAGTGCAGCTTTCAGTGCTGGAGATGGAGATTGAAAATGCAAAGGAAATTGCCACTTGTATTGCTGGGGGATATTCTGAGCCAGGCACACCTGAGCAGTAGCTTTGGTTGGGGTGGGCTGTTAATCCTGAAGGAGGCTCAGGAAGGCAGCAGGGTGGCCCAAGGAGGGATGGGGACAGAAGGGAAGGGAAAGAGAGGTCAGTCCCAGTTTATTGCTGTCAGCAGATGCACCACAACCTGTCTTCTGCTCTGTTCCTTGGTGCTCACCTTAAGTTTTGCTGCTGCCAAGCTCTTTTCTCTGTATCTGACCATGAAAATTATTAACTACCTTAGCAATTTGTCCATTTTCCATCTTCTAGCACTGCTCACTTCTTGCCAGCACCCTAGTATATTTATTTGGCCTTCTTCTGCCCCCTCTAGGGCTGTTGACATCTTGAGAACAGCCTCCGCCTCTAATCACATGTCTCTGCTCGTTGCTAGAGATGAAGAAGCAAAGTAAGAGAAAAATTGTTTTAACCTCAAAACTAATAAAAGTCCAGTGCTGTATCTCAGGGTGGGTGGGTGAGCTTGCATGAATTTTTGTTTCAGATTAGTTTTAATTGCAGAATTCCACCACACGTCACGTTTTACTGCATGGTATTTGATACCAGTTCATTCTGAGATCACTTTCATCAATCACTTCAAGTAGCAAGCTCAGGCCAGCTTCAGTTTAAAGAGGAGGATTGTAATGTTATATTTACACCTAATACCATTAAAAATTATCTGCTGTGATAGTTTTTGAAATACTCCTCACATTTTAAAATAATGAAAAATGAGGACTCTGTTAGAGCTACCAAAGAACCAGATTTAAACTTGTCTTACCTTCTGACAAAAGGCAGATTCAGTTGTTTTTTTCCCCTCAGAAGTTTGCTTTTCAATTTCTAATGAGCTTTGAATAGTTTGGGTAAGTAGGTTAAACTATTCACTGAAGCAGGTAGTTTAAAGTATAGTCATTTTAAGGACATTTATGTTAAATACTGCTCTAACCTGACTGATGAAAGTTTAGCACATAAATCAATGTTGGCAGAGAATCATCAGGAATGTGACAAACCAGGTCTGTATCCCCTTTTGACTTAAATCTCGGGAGAAAACAGCTGTTATGTAATTATTTTTGATAATCATTGCAAGAGTATCTGCTGTTATTTGCCTTTCCTGGGATGTTCCACTTCCAGAGTAATCTCCCCATAAAGGATTTTTCTCTAAATTCCTTTAGCCTTTTGTCCAAGTTAAGCTTCCTCTTTCTGTTCCTTGAATTCAACATCTAAATCACTCTGTAGCCTCTGATCTCTCCTTTTTTTCAGACTGCCTAGATATATGCGAGGTCCACTCTTAATCTGCTTTTATCTAAAGCATACTGGCCTAGTTCCTGTAAACTCCTTGAATAATTAAAATCCATCAGTCCTTTAACCACTCTGGGGGGGAAGTGCAGTGACCTGGGCAGAATTTTCCACTCCATGCAGTCCCTGACCAGCCACCTTATGACTTTACATTCTATGCTTAAAGATTATTTGATTTACATTCAATTGTGTTTATGTGTGTACCCTGGGGTCAACATTAGCACAATAAATGTTGTTCTTTTTTAAAAAATAATACACCCAACATTTTTGAACAACCTTCAGAAGTCAAACTGGAATTACCTGGGAATTACCCTCCTTGCAATCAGTTAATTTCTTTTCTCTCTGACTAATTCTGTATATTAATTTGGTGATGTTTCTGGCTTACATCACTCTAGATTATTTTTATCTTTTAAATCAGTTATCACTGAGTAATCACACCTCAGATTAGAAACTTTTTTTCTTAAATTAGGCTGGCTTCAATATCAGATTAATCAGGTATTTTTGTATTTTCTTCAATGCCTGTCATGCAAGATGTATGTCTTTGCCTGTCTGTTACAATGGGAATGGTGTCTGCAAGGAATTTCTGCTTTTGGCTTTTAGTAGTTAATAAATATGTCTTCTGTCCTCTTGTTTTTAAGGAGCCGTATCTTTGTCAGTCTTTTCTGGGTTCTTGTTCAGTGTAATTGAACGAAAAGCATTCTTTAAAAACAAGGGTATGCTATAGGTGTGTAATCTGATTCCCTCTAATATAAAGAAATTGTTCTGGAGCTCAGTAGTACCACTGTCTTATTATCTGTAGTTGATTGTATTGCAAGTTTTTCAAGTTTTGTAATTCAGGGTAAAGAGAGGTAAAAATAAAGCTTTTGTACCAATAGTCCATTTTCTCCATAATCTGGTTTTTTCCCATCTTTATCATGCATTACATTTTTTTTTTTTTGCCTTTTCTGGCCATTTGAAAGGGCTTTCCTCTTTCAGTGGAGGTTGAGCTTCCTTCTCTGAGGAGGAGGAGCTGTTCAGTACAAGCAGTGCAGGTTTCACAGGATCCATTCAAACTGACAAAGAAAATCTTTTTATTGGCACAGGAAAGAATTTCATGACCTAATGGATAAGTATGGCTCTCACAGTGACACAACCTCTGCAAGAACTTCTCCAACACATCATTTAGCTGGTGAGAGATCACTTCCCAGCCTGAAACAATCCTGGGGGACAAAAATCAGCTTTGGGTGGAGTAGAAACTTGTACTTAAAAAATTCCTTATTTTAGTGGAGGTGTATTGGAGGAAGTGGCCATAAGTCAAACAAAACACACAAGTACCTTGAGGAACTTGTGTGTCAGTTTCCCTAGCTCTTTAAATAAATATACTGGTATCTACTTTAAATTTTAATTAATTATTTATATGAAAAGTTTTTTTGTATTTGTAGCTAAAATGTGCCACAAAATGCTAATAGAAATTTGATCCAGAGCACTATAAATTCTAATCTTTCTGGAACTGCTGCCTAATTGAGATGCCTTTATATAGCATGGGGGATTAGTTTGTTTTGTATTTTGCACCCAATTTGAAAAAAATCATCACTTGTTATGTTTTAAAAAATTATTCCTGGAACTCGGGGTGGCTCTCAGTTCTTTACTGTACAGGCATTTTTTTTTGTCTGATTGCTTAGTTTGTCTTTTTTCTAATATGAAAATAATCCTACTGAACTTCCTTACATGAGTTGAAATTTTGTGCTTTTTCCCAAATGTGGTTTTTATTCATTTATTTATTTTTATTTCTTTTATTGAAGCAAAATCTAGAGACAGCCTTTCTTCTGGGTCATCCTCAAGGTCACAGAGTCCTCAGTTGCAGTTGAAGGATAACAGCAGCAGCAGAAATAATTCTGTCCCACCACCATCCCCAAAGCTTCCAAAGTAATCTCCAAAACTGACTGAACCTCTCTTGGGGGAGCTGCAGGAAATGCTGTTATTTGGCTGGTCAGGAAAATTTGGGTTGAGCACTAAGTGTTAAAGTTTGGGTTTATTTTTTAACTTCTAGCCCTGTAGCTCATAATACCATCAACATTGCAGACTAATAAGTTTTTTTTCTATTTATTTATTGTTCATGTGGCAGAAGAAGATTAATCAGGTTAATTTTTTTGTGTCTTTTAATGAATTACTGTTCCTGATTTATACTATATCCCATAAGCCTTGGGATATAGTATATATTTCTACTCTATATAGTAGACAGGAGTTTTTACCCTTGTAAAATAAAGTATAAATTCTTTTTGTAATTGTCAGAAGTGCCTAAGGTTGCTGATTTTGTTGTAAATAGTGTAATATTTGAACACTGAGATTAAATGTATAATATTTCTATTTGTTACTGTAATACATATTTGCAAAACCTGTAAGATAAAATAAGCTACTGCTTCAGTCTTTATTATCTAGTTCTCTGAAGTAATTCTGTTTTTCTTTCTCTTTGTGTCTCTAGTGACAGTGCTTTTCAGATTATCTCTGTTTGCAAAGGAACAAACCTAGGTTTGAATATTGTGGGAGGAATTGACAGAAATGAAGGGCCTTTGGTATATATTCAAGAAATTATCCCTGGTGGTGATTGCCATAAGGTAAAGGCCTTTTTTCCCTTCCTTCCCCTTCAGACACCTGTATTTTTGTGCTTTAATTGGTTTGGTATGCTGCATCTGAAGTTATACTTTAAATACAAAATGTGTTTATGTTCCTCCTTGCCCTCTCTTTTAACAGAATTATCTCACTGCAGTGTGACAGAGTTACATGGTAATGAAAATTTATCCATAAGTTCATTTGAGGTGAATGAGGATCTTATTCCTCAGTTTATGTGTGAGAAGGTACAAAAGCAACTTCTATAAGAGATTGCATGATGCAAAGTAATGCAGGAAGGATGGGACAGAGCTACAGATTGCACCTCTTTATTTTCTTGGACATTCAAAAAATCATATTTCCCTGAGACTTAATTTAGATGGATCCTTGCAGTTGGAAATCATTGTGTAGGCAAATTAGAAAAAAAATATTCTGAAAGTGCAGACTAATAAAATGTATGAATTGGTGTTGGTTACTGTTTTAATTTGTGACAAATGCAATGTGTAAATCAGGGGGATTTGTCAGTGTAAAAAGTAAATAAATATTGTAATATCCTGGTTCAGGGACACAGAACTGTTTATCCAAGTGTCTCCTCTGGCATCCTGAGTAATTATGGTTATTTGGAAGTGTAGATAACCAGCTTTGCCTCTGGCCCAGCAAGAGAGGATGAGCTCAGTTCATGAGCAGTGGATGTTGTCCCCAAGCAGTTTATAACTATTTGTTACTGGATTTCTGTAGACTAAGTTTAATCCTAAAATGCAAGCTGCAAGATACAAATGCAATATTTCTCAAAGACCTCTTTCAGTAGGTAAATGGTATTCACTTATCTTTTATTTTCTCCTATTTTGTTGTGTTTTCTAAAATATTTTTCTCACTGTGAACATATAATTTAAAGCCCATCACACATAATCAATAGACTGAGGCTAAGACATCAATTTCCATTAGGCTCTAATATTAGCAATAATAGAAGTGATTTCCCAGTACTGGTTGTCCTGTTTGGGAAGGTGAAATAGGAAGCATATTTTAAATGTCTGCCACATGAGGGCACCGTTGGATATCTTAGAGCATGCTAGATGAAAGCAAAATGAAAGATCTACAGCTTTATTCTTTAACCAAAACTAAAACACTAAGTGACAAAAAAAGGTAGTAAAGTACTGGCATAGGAGTGAAACAACACAGCTAAAATTATGGTATGTGTGTGTTAAGCAGGTAAAATTATACTGGTTTTGAAAAGGTATTTTATTTATTTCCTATGTATTATCTTCTGTACACATTTTTTTTTCACATAGAGTAATTTTGTGTTTGATTTCTTAGAAGCTGAAGAGCAGAGACATGTTCTGTGTTACATGATGTGTATTACATTAGACAAATGTCATAACTCTGTAACCATAGGTGAATTACATGAATTTCCAGTTGAATTGTTGAGAGGTCTCTGTAAAAAAAGAGTCTCTGGGACAGAAATGTGAAATGTTCTTGTGCTGGTAGAGAGTTTGCAATTAATTCAACAGAAGCACAATGCTGACAATATTATTTCTGTCATGGTTTTGACTGGTGAGTACTAATAGACCAATCTGGTTTTCTCATTAACGTGGCCGGTGAGTGTCTGAGAGTTCCATATATTGCAATGAACATTTGCTTTTGAAATACAAATTAATCCAGCTCAGAGCTCAATTAATTAGTAAAGAAGCTTCCTAAAGTCACATGGGTCAGTGCTGGAAAAATCTGTTGTTTGTTTCCATGTTTTTTTGTTTTTTGTTTTTTTACAGAAATGTTTAGCTCGGTCCAAAGTTCTTCTTTATGCAATTTCTGAGGTCTGTTTTCTTTGAGTTTTTATAATGACTGCTTTCATGGTAAGGGATGATTGTTTAATCTGTTTATTTCTGGAGGATTGTCAAGCACAGGCAGAATGCAGAGCTGTTCTTGATATTTTTTGTCCTAATAGAACCAGGGGAATTTGTCCAAGTGCTGTGACTATACAGTTCTTTCTGTAGTGTTAGCAATTAATATCAAGTTTGTGGGTTTGGTTTTATATTTGTTATTTTAGGATGGACGATTGAAACCTGGGGATCAGCTTGTGTCCATCAACAAAGAGTCCATGATTGGAGTCTCCTATGAAGAGGCAAAAAGTATAATCAACAAAACAAAGATGAGGTATCTGTTACTGTCAAACAGCCAATCATCCAAAATGGTTTAATAGATCATATTTATGGTCAGATTAATGTGAAATGGGGTTTTGTGTGCTTAGAAGAAATGAAGAATACTGATTTTTTTAAATACTCAGTTGTAATATTATTTCATAGAAAAGATTCAAGTGCACCTTTTAGACCTGAAAAATTATGATACTTTAATGTTTTTTTAAAAATTACAGTATTTGTCTTTGTAATGATGGGTAACAAAACATCCTTTTAGAAAAATAATTAAATAAACCCACACATGGTGTTTGGAAATGTGTAATTTTTGCAGAAGTATAATCTTATGAATAATATAAGTATACAATATGTTGAAACTTTTAAAATTTTAATTCTAGGTTTGAAAATTTTTGGGAGATAGCTTTTATTAGACAGAAAAACATACACAGTTTTCCACAGAATCTGCAGCATCCTTTCAGCCTCTTAACATCTTCGGTAGCACATGGAGAGCAACAGGCTGCAACACTTGGTCCTCTTCCCTCTCCCACTGGGAGGCTGGTTTCACCATTCCCTCCAGATGCTGTGAGTGTACTTCTTAATCCTCTTACAACAAACTGAGCAAAGGGTTGTTTTTCTCCTAATTGTAATTGAGGTTCTATTTTATTAAGAAAATGACTGTCTGTTTTCCTGCACAATATTGTCTTTGGACTATCAACACTTTTGGAAAAACCTTGTTGTATAACAGGAGAGTAAACCACACTGATGAGAGGAATTAGTTGACTTGGGGTAAGAAAACAAATTAAATAAGCATTAACTGTGTTCTTAGATACTAAGTTCTCCTTCACTGTTTCTCTGACGTTTTGGAATTACATACAAATAGTTATGTATTTCAGAGACAAAACTACATATGTGTGAGTACAGTACAATCTCACACTTGCTCTGTGACAATGAGATTTTTGCTTAAAAAAAGTCCTAGAAGTATGGGGTTTTCCCCCATTCTCTTGGCTAAGCAGCAATTGTTTTAATTCATACAGCTCACCATTAGTGTAAAGAAGTAATGTTGACCATGAGAACAAAGATTTTAAAACTAATATTTCAATTTTTGATGGCAGATTTTCAGTTTATCATATTTTTAAAGATAAATAAAGTATTGCCTTAGAAGACGGAAGAATAAAATGCTCTCAAATACGAAGTCAAAACAGATATATAAAACATTATATACAAATCTTATATTTGTACTTAAAATTCTTGCCCATTTTTCTTTCCTATTAGGGATATAAACTGGGTTGCCTAGAGAGACTATGCTGTCTTAATCTGTGAAGGTTTTCAAAACCCAAGGTTTTGATGAGGCCCCAATCTGATTTTTTCCAATGCTGTTCGATACCAGCATCACCCCCTCCATGCCTTTCTTTTTCTCCTAGGCTTGTTTTGATCTCCCCAGCCCTTTTTTCTTCCCCCAGTCTTTCTTCCTGCCCCTTTTTTTCATGAACCTGTATTTCTGGTTTGACTTGTGATCTGCTTTAGAGATGGTATTTCATGACTTTTCATTTCCTCTTGTAGATGGAAACTGGAGTCAAGATGGGAGAGCAATCTCCAATTACTGCTCTAGACAGCAATCCTGCTGATGTGTCTGCCACGGGTAAGTGCTGATTTAATTCCCTGCCACCCTTTTCCTTGCTCATTCAATAACAGTCAAACAGAACATAGTGCATAGTGAGACTCAATAGTCTTTAAAAAAAAGGGAATATTGCACTGTTTTTATACTCCTAAATAAAGCACTGAGATCAACGGATTTTTAGTAGCTTCTGTCAAATATAACTTACATTGTCTCTAACAAACAGCTGAAACCAAACAAAAATGAGTGATCACAACATTTGCTATACAGCAGTCATGATAATAGACTCAGTAGAAACCTGATAATGAAGACTCACATATAGATCAAGATTAGGTTGCCATAGAAACTGTGCTTTCTTGATTTGATGAAATTCTGGGCATGTATGCTGCTTGCATGGCTTTTTTTGCTTAAATCAGGGCAGCATATTGAAAGGATAGAATTAACATGCAGCCCTCTTAACAGCTTTTCCATTAGTAACAAATACAATATATCATGTATATTTGTGTTTTAGAGTCATGACATTGTAACAAGGACAAGAGTTACTTTGATCACATCTTGAAATATTTTGAAAACAACATTTAAGGAAAAACAGGGTTTTTGAAACATGGTCAGAACCAAATCTGAGTTGAACAATTGTAATTCCTGTGGGAAACAAGTGTGTTGTATTTAGAAACAGTGTGACACAATAATGGGAGTCCCCGTTGGCACACTGATAGAACTGACTCTGTTCAGTATTTCTCTGTGCAGACCTGAATATTCTTTTTCTTCAGGCAGTAGCAATTAAGCTGAATTTCTCAATTTCATGTCTAATGTACTGAGGAGAGGAAGAATAAATACACAGGATCTGATTCATTCCAGATATCTCTCCACTGATATTATTTAAATTATACCTGCATTTATTATACCCCATATTAGATATTCAAGTTTAAAATGAAACAGTTCCCATATTGCAAATCTGACCAGTTGGTTCCCTTCCTTGAAGGGTGAGCTCACCAAATGTAAGCTGTTGAAACTGGCAAAGTTTTAGTATTGAATACACCTGGAGATTAATGATCACAGTTTTTACATATTGGCTATGACAAACACTGAATCAAAGGAACAAGGCAAAAGTCTTATTTTTTAATATATTCAGTATATAAGACTCTTGGTTAATATAATTCAGTACACAGGAGCTTATTATTTTGAAGATACCAGGAAGGGCACAGTCTCTGAACACATCTGAAGAATGTAGGGAGGGAGTAGAGCAGAAAGCACAAATACTTGCAGCTTCAGTCATGTTTCATTTTCTTCTTATTTAACAGCACATCTTTAGAAAAACCTGCCACTTCTTTCATGCTGCCCTTTTTCAAGGATAAACTTTCAAAGATAACCTTGAAAAATTAAAGCATCTCTTAGATGAGATACTCTTGTTTTTAACACTTTATAAAAAAATCAGCATAGTTTTGAGAATTTTTTGCCCAAACTCACACAAAAGGCTTTTTCATTCTGAGCTGAAGGGAAATTGAGCCAATTCCACCAAGGTTCTAGCTCACTGCCTTCAGACTTTAATATAGCATGTGAGAGGTGTTAATGTCAGAGATTTTCAAGATATTTTGGTTTATGCTTTTGGCATGTAAAGAGAATGTAAATTACTTTGATCTTGGAAACAGATATGCTGTGAAACTAAAAAAATTTAAAAAAAAATTCTCTGCAATTCCTTCTGTTCCTTTGGAGAGAATCTCAAACTGCAAGATCCTTCACTTGTCAAACACTGGTTTGATTTCAGTACCTTTTTAATTCACTAATGAAATTATGAATTAAGACCTACATTATATTTATAAATAAGGAATGCAAACAATGATTTTTTTTTTATTTGCATACATCTAAAATCCAAAATGATAGCTCAAAAAACCCATTTAAACTTGTGTTTCTGACTATAAGGGTAGAAAGGGGCTGATGAGTGATGGCCTGATGGACAGGAGTTCTTAGAAAAGATCCTTCCCAGGAAAAAACACTGAGCAGCCTGTGGAGTTCAGCCTAAGCTCCCTCCCGTGTTTGGGAGCAGGTCATTCCCTCTCTTCCCCAGTGTTTTCTAGATCACTCCATGTGCCAGTTGTCAGTAACACTAAGGGTGTGTCTTGGAGGTCTCTCTTGGAATTCACAAGTGTGTTTCCCTTTCTGTTTCCTGAGTATCTGTCTATCTCTGAGAGAAAATACCACAAGGAGAAGCCATATGCTTGATGGATCACTCAAAGCTATTCCTGGTTATTTTCTGTTAATTTCCTACTTGTCACTTTTTTATGCAAAAAAAAAAAATAGTGGAAGTGATTGATAGCCATAATTTTTGTTGATTACAATTATGTCCTTTAAGAAAAGAAGCCAGTATAAGGATTAACATGTATTTTTGGCAGGTGGGTATTTAGCTGGCATCCACTTGATGAGCAGAGCTTCAGAACAAATTTTTTCAAAACAATAGTTACCACTATTAATAATTACTTTAATATTAATATTACTTTATTTTTTAATATTACTTTATTTTTTTTATCTCTTAGTTATTGCCCCCAGCCAGAATGATGATTATGAGCCCCAAGGAAAGAACTTGAGTATTTATCTCAAAACAGAAAAGCTGGAGAGGGTAAATACTTAAATATCTTGATTTCTCCTTCTTCCCCCTTCATGATGCAGGTAAAACATCTGGACAGTATTTCTAGGCTGAAAAACTTTAAAGTATAAATGACACACAATTTTCTATTTGGTGATTCTTTCATGTTGCAGGCCAATATTTCAGTTTATGTATTGGGCAAATTACTGTTTTTGTTAATCTAATTACTGATTAACTCTTCTGGGAATCAGAACTTCCCTTAGGATTTTTAAAGCAGTTATTAAGGACAAAGGGGTTTGCTTTTTACACTTGTCTGTATTCAAGGTTAAATAATATCTGAACATCTCTCAATTAGAAGGAAAAGTCACTGAGTGGCTCTGGAATAAAAGTGTTGTCAGTGAGAGTGTACCAGGATACAAAGGCTCTTTGAAGTGTAGGTCTTTAATTACTCCCCCATGTCCCTGCAGTCATTATCCTTAGTCCTTTCTTTTTTCACTCCAAAATAAGTTTTTCCTTCCAGGCACTGAATTATCTTGGGATTCAGCTCACAGATGAACAGCAGCAAGCCCTAAGGCAGCAACTTCATAAAGATTCTAAAGGAACAGTGACTTTTGGAGGTATTAATTTGTTAATTACCACAGAAAATAATGAAAAGTAGGAATACAAAAATTATAGATAATAACTATTAATATATTTCTTGTCAGTATTGGGCTGCTGCTCCAAATAAAATAATAATTTGAGGCAAGAACTTTATTTTGCTGTAAAAAATAAGCTTGAAGTTCTGCTTGAAACTAAGTAATGGGAATGCAAATCACAAATTTATTTTCTTAAGAGCAGCCTTGGGAAAGTTTTATTTTGTGCTCAGAAAATCTTGAATTTTTTGTTCTGACAATAGGGAACTGTAATTTTTCCAGAAACTATTCGGGAGAGTTTTGATGGTTAAAGAAGCTTCTTGAAGCAAGTAAACAGATGGATCACTTAATTTCAGTATGTGGAAGCAAGAATATTTTAACTATTGCATATAGAAACAGGTTTGCAGGGAGACAATCACAATTCTTCCAGCTAAACCTAATTCTGATGAGAATGAGTTGCTTCTTGTGGTTGTAACAATTTTGGTTGATGACACGCACAATTTAAAAATATTTTTCAGAAACTGTGAGACATGATGGTTCTGATGCTAAAACTGATAGAAATTTCCCTTTCCCTAAAGTCTATGAAAAACACTAGTGTGTGAAAAATTGTATTTTGTACTTAAACATCCAAAAACATCTTCAGCAAGAAAAATACTGGATGTTCTATCAGATTTTATGTCGTGTAAACTGACCTTTGTATTTCCACATTTCTGTCATAGTGTAGCAGAATTTTTAAGTCCAAAATGTATGGGTAATCCAAGTCATGTTGATTGTGCATTAGAGACTGTTTATATTTAAAACTTTCAACTTGGTCAACATCAATTTTACCAAGCCTCCATCAGGGGTATAAAGGGTCTGAAAAGGAAACCATGTGCTCTGAGCTAGCAGGAAATTTTTCCTTTTTCTTGTCTCCTCTGGTAAGGTCAATTGATTGGAAGGGCAGGTGTGTATACCTGGTGTGCAGACTTATTTCATTTTTCACAGACACCTGCCAAATGCAGAACCTCTCAGGTACCTTGAAGGTGAACTTCACACCACCTTTGTTTTCTTTTCTCCTTCACAATTTGTTTTGAGGATACTTAATTCCAATGTGTTTGGGCATTTTTATTCTTATCAGCTTTACCAAAACTTTCTCTTTGGAGATATCTCTCTGATTTTCTTTTTTTCCTTTAGAAAACTGCATTTATCAGAGTGGCTGTTCATGGTGATATTGGCAGTTGTGTTGCACCAATGATCTGTTACTAAACTGAATTTCCAGGCTACAACAACAAAATCTGTTTTTTCCTAGATTTCATTGAAGTTTCAAGGAATCTGTTGTCTGTGCAATCAAATGAAGCTGATGACAGCCACAAATCTGAAACCTTTGGGGTGGGTGAAGTTGCCAGCTTACAGGACTCACAGGTAAAATATGTGCCTGGTCAGTGTTTTAACAGTCGGGAGGAGATTATTGGAGAGTTTATTGGATGTAAAATAACTCCAAATCTTGGGCAGATGTTTAAAACAGCTTTGCAGCATGGGGTTCTTTAAGATAACCTAGTTTCTGTGAAGCTTTTTTAAAGCAGCCTAATTTGTAGAAAGCAATTAATTTAATTAAATTGTGGTTTGTTGTAAGTCTGGACAACATTGATTTACTGAGGTTTCTTAATAGAATTTGGATTGCTACAACCTGTGTGAGTGAGAAACAATTACTGGGCCCAGTGATTTGAACTACTGCTACAGTGAAAATCATTTTATTTTAGAGGTGACTTTAAAAAAGAGTATTTTTAGTATATGAACACTAAAATATAATGCCTTATTATTTAAAATATGGAAATAGTGACATATTCTTGATACTTTAAAAAACACTTTATTAATCCATTTTAAAAGGAAAAGTAATTGTTCATTTGGAAGCTAAGTTGTTTAAAATTTTATTAAACATTTTTAGCATTTTCAGATCTATAAATCATCCTAAAATTAATATTTTCTTCTCATTTTATTTACAAGAACTTTTAATATAAGATGTTAAAGATTATGGAAGACATAGTTAGCAATCCATTCCAACCTTATATATTTGTGTACACACAGTTTGTGACCTGTGATTCCTTGGAGGATGATGTGGAAAAACTTAAGAAAGAAAGAAATGAAGCTTTAAAAGAAATTAGCAAATTAAAGGTAACACTTTTTTTTTATTTGCTTTAAATTATTCAAGAGACTAGGGGTTTTTTTGAGTGTATATAGGAATTTATTGGTTATTTGAATTTCATGTGCAGTTTTTCCTAGATAAATAAAATGGCAGTGCAAACAGTCCTAATCAAGTTTGAAGATTGCTTACAATATATTTGTGGAGACAGTGTATTTTAGCCATTATACTGAATGCTAACCCATTTTTTAATCTGGTCTATAGAGAAATGAGACTAAGCAGACATTTCACAGAAGTGAATTTATAGAAATGACTGATTTGCATGGCAATTTTATTTAAAAATGATGCTAGTAACTGCAGAGTCCGAGTGTGTGCTGATACTTCTGAAAGGAATCAGAACTGGAGGATAAATTAATCTGTGTGCAAAATTAATACATATTTTCCCAGACATTACAAAATTCCCATGTCCTAAAGCAATAAATATTATTTCTTAATACCCCAGGTTGCTACCACATTCCCATGATCCTGAATTTCTTTTTTAACAAACCATAAGATAAGAAGTTCTGTGTTCAGCATACATAACTTTGGTTCTTCAACAGGAGTACTGAGGTTGGGACAAAGACAATTTTAAAAATTGACCATTGGTCCAAAAAATTTCTTGCTGTAAATTACAGAAACATTGGGTTGAAATGGCCAGAGGTCAGTTCTCTGTTCTATGCACAGTGATTCTCCTTCTGAGAGCTTTGTACTGAAATGAAAGAACCCCATTTACATTGAACACAGTGAATACTGAGCAGGTGTCCCTAAATTGCTGATGTGGAAAACTGACAATCATCAATCTATAATAAATTGCCTTATTTCTTACACTCTTTTGCACACATCCCAGAAATGTTCAGTAAATAATTCTAAAATACTCAAGAAACTTAAACATCAATGAACTCACAGAAAAGTTATCTTTTAGAGATGCTTTTATCACAGGTTTTATAAAAGTTGTTGATAGAAGTTAAGTATTGTTATCTGTAGTTTTGAAAGAGCTAATTGCTTTAGGATCAAAACTCCTTCTCTTTCAAACTTATTTATCATTCTTTTTTTTTTAATAGGAAGAATTGTCTGAATCTGTGAACTTACAGAAGCAGTTAGCAGAGCAGCTTCAAGTAGTCAAGCAAGTATGTTGAAGTCTCTAAAAGTTATAATCGTAAAAATTTTTAATTTTTTTTGTGGAAGGGAGATAGGAGCACTTCTTTTTCTCATAGTGCTCATGTAGACTATACTTTCACACTGATTTCAAGACAAAGGTGGTTCTTGTGTTACTACAGAGCTTTCGATTAAAAGTGGAGAATTAATTCTTCACTTTTTAGAGCAGTAATCGATTTCTCTGCCATTGAATTGAGATAGGAATCCTGAGACCAGCTGGATCAATGAAGTGGGATAATTATGTAGTAGAACCTTTCTAGTCTTAAGTGTTCTTGAAGAGATTTTGCTGCTCTTAGGCAACAGTTGCCTAATTTACAGTCCTAACATTAACTATTTTATATGTCAACCAGTCTTAAGTGTGAAAAAATTACCAGGAAAAAATAGTCAGGGTTATCTGAGGAAAGTCTTTTTTCTGCCTCCAAATCTATCTATAATTATGAGCCAATAAATCAGAGTATTTGGCTTCCTTGTGTCTCTTAAAGGAAATTCCCAATTAAATGTAAGTCTCATGTCATTCATAGCCTAGATTCAAACCCAAGGAAATTTCCTGTTCCCTCTTCCTCCTGAACACCCTGTCAGCTTTTCCTTCTAATGAGCTGGCTGCTTTCCTTCCCTCCTGCACTGCTGCACCTGTTCTTTGTGGGTTTCTCATGTCACATGTCATGTACAAATGCAAGATAAAGTTTGAAAATCCCCTCTATTAAGATTAGTTTTATATCTTGCTCCTAAGATTCATTGAACACCTTCATTGTTACCTATATTCCTTGAATATACGAGAGCTTGCTTGGAAGCATTTTCCATTAGTATTGTGTTGTTTCCTTCTCTACACTGTGGGAAATAAATTGGGTTATCCACTGGATATAATTTACTTGGAAGATGGTTCCAGTAATGCACTTGAATTCCCATTCTCTAATGGGGTGACTGTGTTGTTCTAGACCAGAACACTTGTTCAGTGTTATTAGTCCAGACTAAAGCTGGTACAGAGTACAATCCCCAGTACAAACCTGCTTTTCCTGGGAAGGCAGCCTTGGACAGGGCTGGTTTAAGATGTTTTAAGTGGCAGCAGTGCTCATTTGCCACCACTCGAGGTCCTCCCACTTTTATTTTTCTCAGGTACTGTCGTGTGGTGGTGAGATTCAATTTTCCCCTGCAAACCTCCCAGGGATAAATACTGATTTTGTTGAAGGCATTGAAAGGGTTCCATGTAGTGAAGTGAAAGAGAAATACTAAGTTATATATAATTATAGCATTGTATGATCTATTTTAAAATATAAAAGTGGGCTTTTAATGGACATTTTCTCCTGTTTATATTTGGTGCATGTTCAAGTGTTTTATATATATTATTATATATATATTTCTGTTGTTTAAAAACAATATTGGCACTGAGATTCATAGTGATAAGTTTTTTTAAAAATAGGCTACTTATAGTACAAGTTGCCATTTAACTTATGATGTGCATTCCTGCTTGAGCTGGTTAGTGAAAGGAGTTAATAAGTACATTATTGAACCCTAATGGCCTGATTAAAAGTAACAAACAACCAGAATAAACAAAAAACCCAATTCAAGGCTGTGCTTAAGGTCTTCTGACTTTAGCATAATTTAAACATTTTTTTAAATGACTGCTTTCCTGAAAAAACAACGTTTTAAATGAGGATTTAGGTTACCAATTGTATATTGAGGTATACTTTGTGGTATTTCTCTTTTCTACTAATTGTTAATTGCAGAGATTACAGATTAATTAAGACAGGGGTACAAATATTCTGGTTAATGAACATGCTTTGTTAGTACCAATTCATTAAACAGTGCTTGACTCAGTAATGAACAGCATGAATAAACTCTTAAAATTAGAAATGCTGCTAACCTTGCTGTGAGGTAGTAATTATTTTCTAATATTGGTATGAGACAATTAAAATCCATTAATTGATCTATTTTTGCTTTGAAGTTGTGATATAGCACTATATCTTTGGGGCTTCCTTGAAATCATATGTAAGCTGAAATTGGCTCAAAACACAGAAAGGCATTTCTGAGTACCTGAAGTCTTGCCAAGAGCACGAATGTGAAATCTGTAATGATGTCTTCTGTCTTCCTGGAGGAGTTGGGCTGGATCCTGTGCTGCCTGAATGTCCTGGGTGTTTCAGCCTGAATGATCCCTTCTGTACTACAGCTTTTTCTGGGCAGTTTCTGTCACCTGGAGCACTCAGCTAAACATAGGAAATGGGAAAGGTTATGAAGATAAGACACTGTTTGTGGTATCCCAAACTCCTGGACTTGGTTCATAGTGCTGAGATTTGCAACTCTGTGGTTGTTTTCTCTGAGGGGAAAATAGGGGCTTTGAATGACTGCTATTTTGGAAGCAGTATCTAATCTATTTCACCCTGCCTGAAAGAAGTGTTTGGTTTATTTCATTAGGTTTTTTTATTTTAATACATAGTAAAGATATTCGAACTTCTTGTAAAGGATGATTTCAATATACATTTTTTGTAGAATTAATCAACAAGCACAATTGATTTGTAACTACAATTTTCACATAGTTTAAAAGAATATCTTAGTTTAGGTGTTTGTGGTGGCTGGAATAAAACTTGGATAAAACCTTCTTAAGCATGAATTTATCCAAGGAAGAAATAGAACCTGGCTTAGGAAGAAACCTGTACCTTGAAATTGCTTTTTTAAGGATTCAGCTTCTCTCCTCCAGCTGTTAGTTCCTTATTGGTTGTAGTGGCTTCTTACCAGATCAGGACAATGGGTCCCAAGAGGTGTTTATATAAATGAAATATTAGCAGCTGCAGATCCCCTACCTGTTGTGTCTTAGAATCCTAGATTGGTTTGGGTTGGAAAGGACCTTAAAGCTCATCTCATTCCACCCCCCTGCCATGGAGAGGAGCTCCCTCCACTATCCCAGCTTGCTCCAAGCCCTGTCCAGCCTGGCCTTGGACACTTTTTCATACATTTGAGTGGGACAAGAGGTTGTGTTGCTGAAGTGGGTATTACCCATCAATTCTTCACTGGTGGGGCCCCCTTACTTGCCAGGTGAGAGAACCCACTGTGTGCCCACAGTGCCAATTCCAGTAACTGGAGAATGGAAAAACCGGATGGAATCATTTCCCTTTGTGCCCCTCTGCTCCAGCAAACAGCTCTGGTGTGTCAGACAATTTTACTAATTCAGTTGTAGTGTGTGTAATTGTTTCATTGTAATGTAAGAAGCCATTGTTCCTTAATTATTCCTTTAGGTCTTTCACTGGTGAAATCTGGTCATACTTAGTCTGCTATTACAGAGAAATTAATATTCAACAACTGGGGTTCTGAAAAAACAATGGAGGAGTAAAGGCAATTCTGGATTATCAGAGATTAAACCTTTATCTCAAGGATGTCTTCTTTCAAAATGAAGACCTCCCTTTTCATAATAGCAATTTTCTCTTCACTTTTCTCATGTAGGTTTATTTAAATAATTCCTAAGTGTGGGTTTTTAAGATGCCACCCTTTCTCAAGGCCTCTGTGTTCATTTATATTAGTCAAATTTAACGTCAGAGCATCTTTTCACTTTTTTCTCCAAGAATCTTTTTCCCACCTCCAGCCTGGTTCCCAAGGATGCCTTTGCTGCTGAAGGTTCCCAACTCATCCTCTGTAGCAGCAGGGCCCAGCTCTTCTTGCTGCTGACTCATTTTGATTCTTACATTGGCAAGAAAGTGCCCTCCCCAAAGGCAGCAATTTGACCTCTACTTCTGTAGGTTGATAACTTCTTAGAAGTCCCTGTGCTCCCTGAATTGTTTCTAGGAAAAAGGAGTGCCAGGAGCAGCTTGCAGGAGGGGTGGGGTGATTGCTGTGGTTCAGGGAGTGTGAGCAGTGATGACCCTCACACTGCTCTTAGTGCTATAAACACACAACTGTGACACCAACGTGAGGAAAAATACACACAGAGCAATAAGCTTGGGATGAGTCTGTGCTTCCAGGTGCAGCTGGTCCTTGTGTAGTTCACCTAAATGCTTCCCAAGGAAAAAAAAAATCATACTACTTGCTGTTAAATTAAAGGTCACTTAAATGGATCTCTTAGTGCTTGTGCCCTGTAACAGAAACCTCTAAATTATGCAACACCAATGTCACCTGTGCTCACTAATGGTGTTGCTGTTCTACATGTGTGGTTACTTCCACTGCTCTCTTTTCTGACAGAGCAGGATGTCCCTGGCCATTGTCCAAATTGGTATTATATTGCAATGATGAGGAAGATGATGTGCTGGTTTTATGTCACTGAGATTAACCGATTTGTGGCCCAGAATATATTGTCTATTAAGACTAACAGTGTAGAGGTTAAAAGTCATATGAAGCTGAGATCGGTAGAGCATTTTACAGAAAGAACATTATCACAAAATATAGGAAAACCTAACTTGAAGGATATTGATTGTACAGGACAAATGCTTCTATGTTAGGAAAGAATTAAATCTGAATTTTTAAGTTTAACTGACCTCTCTAGACATTTCTGTAACGACACCTTTTATATGCAATTGCTTCCACAAAACAGGAAGGTCTGGTCATCTAGGTTTTTTAGAAACAGCAATTTCAAACCTATCTTCTAGAAGGTTATTTCCTCCCCATGGTAAAGAGTCATAGTGTGTTTCTTCTCTATGGGAGGAGAAACATCCACCTGTTTTCCCTCTAGTTCCGTTCCCAACCAGGATATAATTATAATTTTAAGATGTAATAGGTAGACCAGGAATAGAACATTCACCTAAGTATCATTAACTGAGCAACTTCTACAAAAAACTTCTAGCTCTGTTAATTTGTGTATTCAAATCTGATAACTTTAATTATTCATAAAATTGATATAAAGTGACTTTTCCTACAGATTAATTAATAGCTGAGGGAAAAGATGGTTCAGTGATTTTGGTGCCAGTGAGCCTGTCCACTTTGGTGAGCAGTTTGTTTGTTTTATTCCTAGATGAGTGTAAACAAACTCCATTGTACAGGCCTTTAGTTTGGCTTTCTAATTTACTAATCAGTTAATTTCAATTAATATTCAGTCCTAAAAGGAACTGAGCAATATCTTTCTTCAAATGAGATTTTGCAACATTTAGGGATTACATTAGTTGAATTAAAAGCTAACAGTTTCTGATTTTCTGTTTTCCGTACATTTTATATATATATATATATATATATATATATATATATATATATATAAGTTTAATCTATCACTCTTCTGTGATAATCCAGGATATAAGGAAAATAATAGGACCAGGAAAGAGGACAGAAAAATATATTTTTTTAAAAAGCAGTGATTCTGAAGAGTGTGGACTGAATTACTTGCATTAAAAGTCCATCTACATGATGTGTGAGCTGTGACTAGTGTGTGAATTCATGCAATAAAAATAAAATTAAGTAATATCTCACTAAGGTACTTTTTTGGTGTGAAAGCAATGGGGCAGATCAACAGTATCTGGTGCATTTCAAGAAAACCTTTCATTCAAGTCGATTTTCAGTAGTTATAGAACTTGTTATTTAATTTATTAGGAAAATTATGTCTCTGTACATACCTGGTTTTCATTTGCACATCATAATGTCAAAAATTAGCCATTGAACCCTCTAACCATGAACACTAACAGGTAGCCCTGATGCCAACTGCAGAAGTTGTGAGCTAAATCTGCTCTTTTTTTTTTGGTAGCTGGAGTTGTAACTTCTCTCCTGAATTATATAATCTGCAGGAAGCCAAGGCAGCTGTGGAGGAGACAAGAGCCCTGCGCAGCAGAATTCACCTTGCAGAGGCTGCTCAGAGGCAGGCCCGGGGAATGGAGCTGGACTATGAGGAGGTGATTCGCCTCTTAGAGGCTGAAATTGGAGAACTGAAGGCTCAGCTCACTGAGCATTCTGGCCAAAATAAAGTAAGCAAAGCCTGTCAGAGTTACCATGGTTTCCTTGCTGTTGTCATGTATCTGGTTTTCATTTTCTTTTCATCTGCTTTTCTAAAGTAGGTCACTGTTTGTCTTTTATTATTCAATAACTGGGATGATGTGGATTGAAGAGGGTAATGTGAAGTGTACAAGGCTTCCTTTATCCAGACATCTTTGGGCTGAAAAAATAGGAGTTCTTAGTATATGTGGGTTATAGGTCAGAATGGCACATCTCAAGCATTAAGCATGGAATAGTTTCTGGGCTGCAGATATATTGTCTTTAAAGAGTACACCTTGCATATAATTTTATGCTTTTGTACTCATGTGAAAATGGCCTTCAGGTTTATGTTTCTGTTAGGCAAATAACAACTATGTAAAGTCCAGTCATGTTCCAAAGTAAATTTAGATGTAATCAAGGTAATCATTTGAATGCTACTAATCCTGCAAAAAAAAAAAAATTAATCTCATATTTTAAGTCTGCTTCACTACTTCATCTCCAGCAAGGCATTTCAGAACAGGCTAAGAAATAAAATATTTGATGCACTTCAAAAATTTTTTCATAACTCCTGACCTGTGTTTTTGACACAGTTTTAACAAGTACAAGCAGGTTGGCATTTGTGAGGTTACCTTGTTTTTCTCATGAAAAATGAATGTGCATATGACCTGGTGAAGAAAACCCACTGAAATGTTGCCTTGTTTCATCCTGAGAATTAATTTAATATTTCAAGACATTAGAAGGTAAAGTCAAGCTCTGGGGTAAACAAGCTTGCAGAGAACAGCTTAGGAAGTCCCTGTGGCTCCCAGGAGGAATTCCAATTATCTGATTGTGAGTCATGAGGTAAATCACACCCTGGATGTATTTTCTGAACATCTGGGTGAGATGCAGGTATTCTTGCATCTAGACCCTAGAAAACTGTTTTCCAGGACTTCTATAAATACCCAAATTTTAAGAAATTCATACAGTGTGGGTTGCTTTCCTGGAGGTTTGTTCCAGAGATTCTAACTTGAGTTCCTGAAATTCTGACTGAGTACTACAATATCTGTGTGGAGATTTCAATCTCTGCATTTCTTATCCAAAAGAAGCAGTATCAAGTAGGTCCCAACTCCATTTTATAGCCTTTTGTCCCCATCCTGCTGTAAAAGGGGAGTCAGTTACAGGAGCCAAGTTTTAGGCAGGGTCACACCTGTTTTTTTTCTTTAATGCATGAGTAATCTCCCCCTAAAACACATTCACTAAATGGAGTATAACGTATGTTGAGGCATAAATAAAAATCAGATTGGTCCCTCTCACTTTTTTAGTATGAAAGAGTGAGTTCTTTCACCAGCTTCTTCTCCAGAGTTTACAGTGAAATTACCAAAAAAAGGTGTTTGAATCAACAGGTTCTTTGATATTCGGGGGGATGATGATTCTGCTGCTTTGTACAAATTATTTGCTTCCAGTGAAGTTAGTAAGTGGGGTTTGGTGATTATTTTGTAAGGATTTTAGAGTAGGTTTAGGCTTTCAGAATGATCACCTGCAGTGTGATGAAAAAGTTTATTTTTAACTACAGTGCTTTTTCTGTATTTTGGAGAGATCTTTCTAGATCTTGTGTCCAGAAGACAGCTGTGCTAAACAGAACATGCCCAGGTACACGTGAGGACTTTACTCATGGTCCTGTCACCCGAACAGTGCCAGGAACTCTAATGAAACCCAGAGCCTCCAGAGCTGGATCTAACAGGGCTCACATCTTCTGTACTGAAGGAGGGAAGGATGCATAACACTGATCAATAGGTTATACAAGTGCATGCAGAGACATCCTAGGGGGTAATTTCCTCCAAGATGTGCCATAATTACTGTGTTGGCCAACAGGTGTGGATGCAAACTAGGGGACTGAGTTTGTTCTGGCTCTTTACGCACCCTGCTGAGATACTGTCACCATTAGGTTGGTATTTTTGATCCATTTATCAGTCAGTTCAAACTCTCTTAATTTTCAGCCCTATTCCTGTTGTTATCTTCAAATTTTAATTTACCTTTCTATCATTTGCCAAAATCTGTTGCAGTTTGGAGCTGATTTGCCAGCTGCTCAGATATTCCAGTTTTATGTTTTACAGAAATGTAGAAAAGAGCATGTTAAACATTCCAAACACTCTGTTCACACTATGTCTCTGTGTGAACCATGGGAGGAAAATTATTAGAATAAAAGCCTTAAAATACTTTTCCCAGGAGAGCATTCACGACTTGAGAAAGAGGGTTACAGTGCTTGACTGTCAGCTGCGGAAATCAGAGTCGGCCAGGAAGACCTTTGAGGTGGCCACTGAAAAATTGCTACAATTTGTAGAGGTAACTTTGCATTTAACAATATCTTATTTGGAAAAGGGTTTTGTTGATGTTTGTGAGGAATGAGTATAGTAAAATAGCTATAAACCAGTTTGCAGAGATCCTTTCATTCCTAGACATACAGAAGATGTGTAAGTGTGCAGATCCATCTAGAAGTTTACATAATCGTCAGGTTTTGCTGTACTGCACAAATGAAAATGATCAGATAATTTTTTCCACCTAAGCTCTCTCAATTTCTATTAAACTCCTCATAAGAAAAAGGCAGAAAAGCTGATAATGGATAATTCTTTAGCATGTTATGAAACAACGACAAAAAAAGGGATATGGTTATATTTACTTCATTTAAAGGGGTTATAATATTTTGGTTTTTACTTTTGCGCTTCTAGCTGGGGGAGACTAGATTCTTTAATTGCAAACCAAGTTCCCCACCCCCGAATAGAAGAACAAACTATAAGGTATTAACTTTTTGACTGTGTTGATTTATAAACTGTTAACTTCTTGACTATGACCAACAGGTTGTGCATGAAATACTTTCAGATAACTCTACTTCCTCAACAATTTTAAGGTAATGAAATGGCAATATTAATAGTGAAAAACTCTACTATTGTTTCCAAGTCTCAAAGAACTGCCTTGTGGCTAGTTTTTTCTATACTTTTGCTGTATAGTTCTGAGTGTCATTTTATTGAAGGAGAGGAAATGGCGTGAATTATAAATTAGGCTTTCAGGATACAGCTTCATTAAAAACCTCTGAATTAAATTAAAACAGTTAATAATTACATAGCTACGATTGTCTGGATGTTTCCATAAAGTAATTATAATGTACTAATGATTAGTTAAAATGCAAGGAACCTTAACAGTGGGTTATAATTTTTAATATTTTTTTTTAGATTTTCCTAGGGGATTTTGCATCACAATGAATGCAGTAGCATATAAATAAATTGATAAAATGTATATCCATTTACATGTTGTTACTTTTCTTGTTTAAAAAGCTGCTGGGAATATTCAAGAAGATTTAAGCAGCCTTTAGTCCTTCAGAAAATTGCATGATTGTGGCTATATATCGCAGATAGCATTTCATTAATATTTATGTAACAGTAAAATTGTTCTGTCTCTTTCCTGCAGTTTTTTTTCAATACAGCTCTCAAGAAAATTAAATGTGTTTAAGTGAAGTGAACTGGAACTATATTTCAAAATACTTAGGTAGGCTCAGACCAACTAGGATATTGTAGATAATCAGTGAGATGCAGTTCCCATTGGCACTGCACACAAGAACGATGTTGTCTGTTTTATGAAGTTCACAGAATTTATTTTAGTGAATGCTTTAATTGTCAAATACGAAGCCAAGGTGACAAACTGACTCACTAACAGCAGAGAAGATAAGAGTTGGGTCCCATGAAGCAGTATCCCTTCTTAAATGCTGGTATGAAAATTCCATTCAAGTTCCTTTCCTGACACCCTCTGAGTCCTTGATACTGCATTTTGAGTTCTGAATATTATTTGAATTAAACTTTCCAAGTGCCTTCATTGTTCAGCCAGGACTGCTGCTGGGGCTAACTCACTGATTTGGGAGCATGAATCTTTTTTGTTCATACAGTGAGAGCAAAACCACTTTAGAAAAACAAGTTTACCTTGTTAAAAGGAGCAGTTTCCTCTATCATATTACAAATAAACACTTATTTTTTATTATCTTAGTGACAGAAGAACATTGTCCACTAAAGCACTTCTGGCTCGGCTGGGAAGGGTCGGACCTACTGTCACAGCAGCTCTTGCAGCAGAAGCCAGGGACCTTGCCAAGTCCATCCGTGCCATTTTGGAAGTGGATTGTGAGTGAGTGTGTCCATCTCTGTGTGCTTTGAAATCTGGTATCAGTTCATCAGCCAAGAAAATGGATAATTTCATTTAAAATTGGATGCGAACTGGCTGAATAAATCATTCCTAGCATGGAAGGACAGAGCAGGTTCAGTGTCAGCTCAGGCAGCATCTTCATCAAACTATAATTAGAATATAAAGTTATTCCAGAGTACATTTCTTCACAGGAAAACTTACAGCACAAAATTAATGCCAAAGTGAGGAATATGAAGATTACCAGAATCATGTAAAACTAGCAGAATTTCATTACTTTAATGCTCTGTTTTTCATACTGGAATATTTACAAAATGTTATTCTGCTGGATTTGCATGAACATGTATCAAAGTGTTTTAATGAAGATGTTGTTGCTGTAGGGAGTGAATGTAGGCAGCAGTTCCATTTGGAGATATCCATGTATGTCCTCAAGTCATGAGCAGAAAGCTGTTCCCATTGGTGAAAATGATGGTAATTCATGATAGTGACTGTAATAAACTGCATCAGTTGAAAGTCTAAGAAACAGGTTTGAATTATCATATAATTCCTGGTTCAGATCATTGAAATGATTGTGTATTTTGATGGTATTTGCCTATAGTTGAGCAGGCAGTCAGTTCTACTCCAATTTTGATTTACAAAAAGGGAACATAAATGGTATGTCACAGGAGGTTTTGGAAAGGTGGTTAATTACGGTTGTCCATAATTCTTGTATCAAAGGACTGTTCAGGAATTAATTTAGAAAGAGACTGAGAAAATGGTTGTTGAGAAAATAAGATATGAAAAATAGTTTTTTGATGTTATTTATGAAGCATTAATTTATTACTCATTCCATGGCAAAGAAAGCAAAATAAGAAGATAAAATTTGTTCAAAAGTGTCCAGAATATTAGAGTTAGCATTACTGGTGGAGTGAAAAGAATAACAGTGACCAGGAGAGGAGATAATTGGTTTTCCACCAATGATAATCATAGTTCTGTCACACTGAATTGCTCTTATTACACTACACAGAAAATTGTGCAAAGAAAACTTTTGGTTTTAAATGCAGCTGAATTCTAACATGTGGTTATGTCAAACATAATAGGTAGAATACATGCTAGAAAGCTCTGGAGCTACAGCAGGGATCCATTTTATGAACCTGAGAATTAAAAATAGATCTGCAGAGAAGGATTTAAAGATTGAACGTCATCTTTCTGAGTTCATTCTGATTTGGAGAGCATTACAGATAGATTTGGGCTCTGACAAGCTTGGGTATGAGATTAAAGCTTTAAACCTCACTGGCTTTTTTCTCCCTCTCCCTCCAAAAGAAAGTAGCTAAGGCAAAGGAACTATGTAATAGCATTCTGTCTGCAGTGTTCTCTGCCAGCTTCTCACTAAATGTTTTCCATGTGATCTGAAGTTTTCTTGCAGATGAACTGTCATAGAAAGGGGGCTCTTGTGTATGTGGTATTTCATAAATATCATCCATCAAAGAGAAAAGTGTATTAGAGACTACAGTGCAGACTGAAGGGTTTCCTTTTCCCAGGAAGGTGTCCACAGCATAATAATTGGTTATTGAATTCTTAGAGAGAACTGGAGTTAATATTTTTCAGGTTGCTCAGTGAATCAGAATGTCTGGCTGGGAAACCTCTCTGATACATTTTACCTTCTAAATAGAACTTCTCTTTCATTATTTGCTTCATTCTTGTAAATACGAAGTTAAGGAGCCCCAGCCAAAATTCCTCTTTGATTCATTTACAGTACATGTGAAACAAAGTCTGGGTGCCAGGAAAAGGTTGTAGAGTGTTTTTCCAACAGAAAACTGCTTCCTTTGTAAAAAAATCTTCCTTGACAACCAGGTCAAAATTATATATTTATAAGTTATCCGCACAAACTATCCCCTTCCTCTGTAATAGCTGACATTTTGCCTGAGGGAAGAGGCTTGAAGAAGTTCAGTGTATTCCTGAAAATCTTCAAGAACATGTTGCCTTGTGATACTGCTGCAGATCAGCTTTCAGCTCTGCAGGCTGAGTGACAGCTCTGTGAAGGCACTTTGGTGATTCTTCAGGCAAAGACTCTGGAAAAAGAACAACAGCTCGTTTTCCAGGGCTTACTGCTTCAGGATCCTCCAGACCTCAAAATGCAAATAATGAAGTAATAAACAGAATAATCAGGCTCATCCCTTGAAAGAGCCATTCTTCATCTTCTTTAAGGACTGTAAGCTCTTTTTAGAAACCAAGCCTTGAGAGGCCGTTCTGCTTTACAGAATGTGAGCATCTCCTGAAGACTTGAAATTACTTCCATCATACAGAGGATAATAATGCCTCAGTGAAGAACTGCAGCATTTAAAAGTAGTTGCTGCCTGCATTTAGTAGACCATATGGTGCAAATCATGCTACAAAGAATAGTGATAGCATTTTCTTCTTTTCTATTACAAATTTAGAAAAGGAATACACTGGGTACTGGGTAATGACCAAAATCTGATTAACCCTGGAACATACTTATCTCCTCATCAAAGAGCAGGCAATCAGCATTTTGAAATGGGCACTCATATAACACAGCTTTCAAGTATTTTGGCTGCTGATTTCCTCCCTCTGCCTCTGACACTTCTGTCCAAAAATACAATCTTGCTGTAATTGACACAATTCCAACCATCCACATCCAGGAAGTGCTCTGAAGCCAGGTTCTCCACTCAGTGGGAGCTCAAGCACTGAATTTTGAGCTATTTTATCCCATCACGTTCCCATAATTTGCTCTCAGCCTGGGATCTGACATGAGGCAATCATGCTGAAGTTCACTCAAATGATATCCAAATTAATACAGATTCCAAAACTCCTACTTAATTTACTCATATTGATCTTGCCAGTCACTATTCATTTGATTTTGAAGATCCTACAGGCAGAAGTTTCGTTGCCTGGATCTTATATTCATTTCCCTGAATGCTGACTAGATAAAAGAAGAGAATAGAAGCTGTTGCTGCTCAGCATCCATTAGTGCCTGTTCTCTTGATGGTTAAAATTGCTTTTGATTTTTGGGCAATGCCTTAGATCTTTGGCATTAAAAGCTGAAATATTGGATCTATCCATTTCTTCAGTTTAGGGATTTTTCAGCTATAATGTGTTCAAATGCCAAAACCATTCCATAGTCAGGAAAGTGTCAGTTATCCCTTCCTGTGTTTTTGACAGTGTGGGTGGAACTAAGCTATAGAGTAACAAGGCTTCACAAATAACTGAGCTGTAGCAAGGCTTCACAAATAACAATTTTGCTATTTTGAAAAGGGCCAGTATTATTAAGTATTCATATTTCTTTTGTTTGTTTCAGGCCTGGTGTGTTTGTCTATTACAACAGAATAAATGCTATTTATTTATACATTTATTATACATTATTTATTCATACATTTTGCTATTCTGTTCTTGAATCTTGTATTTTATGAACACAGCAGTGCTGTAACTTTGTGCAGGTAATTGGCTGTAGTTCATCAGCCAGAACATCAGCTGTTCCCCCTCCCATTTTTACCTTTTGCCTGTACATCAAAATCCAGCTGTTACTGTGGCATGGGCAGGCATGTCCTGTTAACTTCTGTTAGTTTGGCTCCTGATATTAAAGATGCTGTATCTTCTTGTATTTTTAGTATTAGGCAAAATTATTTCCTGCAAGGTCCAGTTTGTGGGAGGAGTGTGCATTGAGGGAATACCTCTGACATTCTTTCAGCTGATGAACTAGAACTGTACCTGTCCTTCCCCACTGGAAGAGCTGCCTGGGAAGAAGCAGCATAATGACAACTGAAGAGATAACTCTGTGTATTCATTGTTCTGGCAAGGCCATAAATATTTCAGTGAATTACTGAAATCAGAAATAGAAGAGCCCAGATAAATTATACAGAGTATATCCTGAACGCAGCTGTACAGCTCCCTTTTAATAGGTTTTGCTAGCAAAAAAATTAATATCACTGCTGTGTGCTTTAAAGGTAAAAAGCTTATATTGAGCAGCTAAACATTAGCTGAGACAGTACTTCTACTAGAAAATATTGATTTGGTGACATTAATATATATTATTCCTTTGAAACTTCTAACAACAACAGAAGAAGTGAGTTTTCCCAAAAGAAAATTTATCAACTGTTTTATTCAAAGGAAAATTTCACGGTTTTGCTAGTCCCTGGAGGTTGATTTTTGTTTTTCCTCCTAACAAAAATACTTGAAGGTAAGATAGTTTCATTTTTGTCAAAAGTAATATGATTAAGTTATTCAATGAACTTTTTGCTGTTGAATCTTATTTGAGTTGACATTAAAAAGAAAATACAGAAATCTCAGAATTACATTTTTTTAATTTTTACAATAAACATCAGTTATATCCAAGTTGAGAAGTAGATCTGTTTCACATTATATTACAGACCTTGTTAAATTTTTGCCTTCCTTTGAAAATCTGAATGTTTCATTAAAAATTTGATACCTTTTTTGCAACTCTTTAGATTCATTGCAAATCAGATCACAGGAAGAAATCCAAAGGTTTCTTTAATTTTTATGCAAGTACAACTTATGTACTTGCATAAAAATTAAAATTCAAAGTTGCATAATGAGGAAAATGGCTTCTGTAATCTTCAGGGAAAAAAAATCCAATCATATTTAATATCATTTTACAAGGATGCAGTCAAGAATGCGAAAGCTTTTTTTCTACATAACTGTTTACTTGCAGCAAGACTTTTAATTTTCTGGAAATCATTTAAATGTCCAATTTTGCCTGCTTGGTAAAAAAAAAATGAAGAGTTGTAATCCTGACAGGGTTCATAGAACTGTAATTTCAAAAAGAAAATCTGTCCAAGAATTTGAATATGTTTCATTGCAACAGAAAATAAATGTTGCAACTAAGAAATGTAATACTGTACAGTATTGAAAATAATTCAAATATAAATGAAATTGAGCATGTAAAAAAATGAATTTGAAAAGGGAGGACTAAACCTCTGAGACAAGTCCATTCTCTCTCCAGTCAGTAAGTCTGATACAAACTGCT